GGGGTGTGCATTTTCTGCCTCCCGGGTTAGGTCCCTCTTGTTTTCATCTTTGGGTAAGTAGCTCCGGGGAACCGACGGGGCTTCCCCCAGAAAACCAGCGTTGAATGTACAGTAATGAAATGCCATTTTCTGGGCGAGACCCAGAGGCTTCCCAGCAACCCTCCCTTCCCCCGGTCGGTGTTTTTTTGCGTGTTTTGATGTCCAGCCTCAGAACTGAGAGGTGGATTGCCGGTGCAGGGCTCTGGGTCTTCCCCTTCCCCCTACTGGGGAGGGGGGAGCTGCTCAGACAGCTTGTGACATCATACTCCTTTGCCTGTTTCTGTTTGAGGAGTCCTATCCACTTGTTTGGCTTTTCGTCGAAATTTTCACCAGAATAGGGGTTTGTTTTGGGACGCTTAACTTTCTGGGTGCCTGACCCAGTCGATGGCAGACATAGAATGCTTTCAGCCACACAGGGGTTTCTATAGGCCATTGCTCCTCGTGCCTCTTCTGAGGGTGCCAGGTTCTCGCTTGTGGGCCCCGGTAGGCCTCAGAACTCCATTCACATGACTGATGCCAAAGTCTGATATTAGCATATCAGCCTGGAAAGCTCCGGGGAGCCTCTGGGTCTCACCCAGAAAATGGGGTTTCATTACATTCAACGCTGGTTTTTTAATATAGCAACATTCCACACATTTATCTTTATAAATTACTCAAATAACACACTATTGAATAATATTACTGTAAAAAAGGACAGAGATAAACCAGTCATTGACATTGAAATAATTAGGTAATGATATCTTTGTGGTAAGTCCTGCTACGCGGCTTGGCTGGAGGCGACTGGCCTGAACGTGTATTCTTTCAGCGACTGTATCTTGCAAGACTTCCTCACCCATCATGGCCAAAATGTCACATTTGATTTTTTCTCCTCCGTGATCAGGAAATGCATTTTAACAATACAGTATTAGAAGTGAAAAAATTTGAATTGTTTTTCTTGTGCATAGCTGGGTTGTGGCTATTAATAGCTGGGCCTCCCAGCGGTTAAAGAGGGTCTGCCCATGTTTGGATATCACTTGGTTAAGTTGTGCTTGTGCTTATGCATTTGGTGAGCTGTTGATAATATTCTACCATGGGCCCCTCCTCTTCCAATGCCATCTTCTCTCATGGGTAAAGTCTAGCTGTGTTTATCTTAAAATTTCTTCAGAAATGCCTGGTAATAGTGCCTCTAATGAGGCACTATTTTGAGATAATTCAGGAGAGCTTCTGAGGTTGTTTCATTACATTTAAAGCCTGGTTTTCTGGGGAAGACCCCTTTGGCTGTCTGAGGATGTCTTGCTGAGCTTGCTCCCAGCTACTAGGTCACTTCAGTCAGTCTATTTGGCCTATTGGACACCAGAGCCAGAATATAATATCACTTATCCCTTCAGAAGTGCAGAGAGTGAGTAAAATTTTGCCACCTCACTGAGAAAGCATCCAGTAAGTCAACAAAGCATTACAGACCACTGCCAAATACAAAAGAACCGAAGCCTCAAAAATTGGCAAACAAACTCTCCAATGTATACAAATGATTGAATCTCTTGACACTAGCTTGAACTAGGTACTAAACTACTTCCACAAGGATAGCAAGAGTCCCAACCTTCCCCTAACCCTACCAAGGTTGCTGATGTGCTTAGCTTAGGTCATCCGCTTTAGTGTTCCTGGGTCACCATCCAGTCGTGTAGGTCACTCTGTGGGACATTTGGGGCTCGACTCGATTTATTTAATTATTAAAGTAATGAAATCAATTACGAAGGACCACCCGCTTTTATAGTAAAGAGGGAAACTAATAAAATGTGATCATTAGAAATTCCTGTAAGAACCAGTGTCTATGGATAACATTAGAAAATATATTCACTTGATTAATTAATGGGCTGTATAAATTATTTACTGGAATCAAAGCCTCAAACACCTACATTGGGGGGTTATTGCTAGAACTTCATATATGTCTAGGAACTAGTGTGGTTCGTACACCAGTTCATTGTGTAATAACCTAATCTTATGACCAATTAAAGAATCAATAGAAATCGGTCACCAGTAAAATATAGATCATCAACATCAGAAATTAATCATTATAATAAACACATATTATCTCCAGTGTACAGCATTCTATAGATGATAAATAAATACTGATAATTTGAATAATTAAAGAAATACGAAAAGTCTTAGCTTGAAGACGTTTTCAAAGACATCAGTTATGAATCATCCTCGGGATCTCCGGAATTCCTCGTAGAACGCTGGGAGATGAATAACACGTGTAAAGTAACAGCTCGTGGATGCCTCACACGCGAGCTGTAATTGAAGGGATATTACGTAGCAATGTACTAGGCTACTAAATATCTATATTCAAGAAAATGGAAATAAATAAATCTAGAATACTAACATGGGTTTTGTTTAAGTTGCTCGACGTAACGACAAGCTACCCTGCCATATACAATCTCTAATGATGCATCAAAAGGGAGTTATATATATACTTAGTGTGATGGTAACGCGTTGGTGTTCGGCTGTTCAAAAGCTAGGGGTATGGCCTCGTCACATATAGAAACAAAAAATAGAAAATCTGGAACTTCGTCTGTGGTAAGGTAATGGGAAGACACACAAAACACAAGTAAATTTAACAATGAGATTTTAATTACGTTAGAAAAGCAAAACATGAATAAAATGGACATATAAATTGGAACATAAAATCAATCAATCAAAATAATAAGAATAATCAAATGACAAAATGAAAAGTTACGTTAAGACAAGTGAGTAATAACAAGTGTATAACAAACAATGTAAATATGGATGCCGGAATATTGGCTTTAAGCTATCACCTCTCTTAGTACACGTAAGCCAAAGCTTAGTCTACCAACGAGACGTGTTAACCTGATGAAAGCACTGGATATTCTGAGAGCTGAGGTCGTGGTGGACCCAGACAACAGGTAGTGTGGTGGGTGGAGGGCAGGTGCAACTGGACACGCAGCCAATCAGCGATGAGCAGGCGACAGACAGGTAGTTGGGTGGTTCGAGGTGGAGCAGGTGTTCCTGGCTGCATACGTTTTGCGCTCTGGCAAACCTTGGAGTGGTGTATTTGTTGGATATTTCTTCCATATTAGTTTTATAGGGATGTATATAGCGACGAACTTTGGAGGGAAGAGCAGGCTCAATCTCTTGGAGGAGATTATCGTCACATTAGCTAATAGGGCACTGTATAAGTTGAAGCTTGCCGAAAACCGCGTCCCAGGCTCTCATGCTACAGTGGAGTGTACGTGGTAGCTAGCTTGGCTTGGATGTCGACGCGCTTATTTGGCCGGTCACGATGGATCACGTAGAACAAATTAACTAGTTCCGGGATGAATGTCAGGTTAAATCTTGCTGACAATTCACCACAACGTATCCTAGACTCTGACACCAAAACGAGTTGCTCAATTCCGCAACAAGTCTTCACGCCGCATACTGGCGACTTCTCCTCGAGCTGGCGTCCACCACAACAATGGCTTCTCCCTCTCCACTCTCCGCGTCCCGCATTCGCCACAAATTATTTATCATGAATAATATTACTTCGCGCAGTTGTGGCTAAAATGCTTTGATAAAGACTGGGTTGTAATTCTAGGGAGCTAAATATTATTACTTTCTCGTCTTACGATGGTAAACGAGAAATGGAGATGATTTTAGTTTTCTCCATGGCATTCACGCGTGACGGTAAATTTATTACCTGATAACAATTATAACTAAAAAACTCTCGATTTGGCATTATTTGGGAGTTATGTTATCGGTAAATAATTATCACACAGAATACTGATGATTTTAGAGAATCGCACTCAATTCTCTAACACACTGGATATAAATGTGTTTAACTTGGTAGAATCTGACGCAATACTGGTGTTTGGTTACGTAAGAATTCCAGCATTATTGTACAGATACAATTATTAGTTCATGTGAACACTACTGTTAGTTAATTTTAGTTACTACAGTAATTAGTAGATTTTAGTAATAGTTTATAAGAATAATACAATAATATTGTATTAGTGTTGGAAATTTCCAACACACTCTACTTCTAAGCTAAGTGTCGTCCATCCTTGGGTTTTGTTGTATGGAGGGGGGGATGCCATTTTCATGTTTATTGTTCCAGTATTTACTTCGTGAGAGTTTTCTACCATATTGTTGTATGATCTTGGCTCATTTTGCATCTGGAACTGCATGCATTCAGGGTTAATTTCCTGGCTGCTTCCAAGTGCTGCCTCTGAACTGACAGTGTTTTTTCCCTTGTGTGTTTGGGAGTTTTCTCTTTTGAGGCCTAGTCACTAGGGTGGAGTGTACTGCCTAGAGTGGTACTTCCTGTGCCACTGTGAGAGGGGCCAGGTTCTGGCTCTGGTCCCCTGTAAGCTGAACTAAACTCTGTGGATGATACAATCTAGTAGTTGAGAGCCAGGGGCCAGATTCACGAAAGCACTTACTCAAATACTTACGAACGTGTACATCTTTCCTCAATCTTTGACGGCTTTGGTTACATTTATTAAACAGTTTACAAGCATGAAAACTTCCCAATCAATTGTTGTTATTGTTATAAACAGCCTCCTGGTGCTTCAGAGCTCATAAACTGTTTAATAATTGGAAACAAAGCCGCCGTAGATTGAGAAAAGATGTACAGGTTCGTAAGTGCTTGCGTAACTGCTTCGTGAATCTGGCCCCATCTTAGCAAGGGAACTTCAGGGAGCCACCAGGGCTCATTCAGAAACTGGCGTTTCATTACATTCAATGCAGGGTTTTTGGAAATTGTCTTATGAATACTATTCTACATATATCCACCTTCAGTTCAAAAATAACATATAGGCATTCAGCTAAGTATCATTGTAAAAAAATCTTTAATGGAAAGAAGTGTTGAAATGAAGAATAGATTTGCTGCATCATTGTGTTTCTTTGTTGCCAATAACAAATACAGCTTTTCGTGTTCAAAATTTCTCGATTAAATTTCTCAGTTGACAGATCTATGTATTTTTTAGGGTACAATGCAGATCATCCAGCACCAAGTTCTATAGGACAGATTGGTTGTCCATACCCTGCTGAAGGTAGTGTCTTTGATGTGATGTTTGATGCCAAGCAGCGGTCTTACTGGCGCCCATGGACAGATGTTGTTAAACATGCTGAAATCACAGAAACTTCTCAAATTTCAACCATCCTTGTTCCTACTATAGAATCAGTCAGGTAAAACAAACTGATGCAGGCAAGACACTTCAATTTTGTATTTCATTTATACTTTTGCTTAGCTTCTCGGGCATGCAAGTTTTGTTTATAAAATATAATAATTATGATACAGGCATACCTCAGAATAAGAGTTTAATCCGTTCCTGGAGACGCCTCGCCTTCCGAAAACTCGCATTCCGAAGTTAATTTCCCCATAAGAAATAAAGGGAAATGAATTAATCCGTTCCTGACTACCCCAAAAACCCCACATCAAACTAAATTTTTATACCTAATTCATCTAAATAAACCTACAAAACTGTGTTCCAGTTATTACTTACCTTGCTGTCGAGTGCTGTAGGCGTATGGAAGATGGTGAGGAGGGGGGAGGAGGAGAGGAGTTACTGTTTGGAAGGGGAGTCCCCTTCCATAATCACATCACATAACCCCATGCCTTGTAACACTATGGATACCACTTCTCTTTCTAAATTTTTCAAACCAGCCCCTGCTTGCCTTAAACTCTTTCTTATCTGCATCACTCGTTGCAGGGGTATTCTTTAGAAGGTCTTCGTGCAACACCCTGGCTTTCTCACAAATAATGGCCTCCAAAACACTATCACCCCTCAACTCCTTGTCGTGTATCCAAATTAATAACAACTTTTCCACTTCTTCAAGTATTTGTGGTCTTTGTGCCGTTAATGTTCTTACTCCTTTTGCCACTTTAGCACCCATAATCTTATTTTTCTTCTTAAGTATAGTGCATATTGTTGATGTGGCTTTGTTGTACTGCCTACAAAGTTCAACAACACGTGTACCGTTCTCATGCTTCCGAATGATCTCTTGTTTCTCCTCTATTGTCATCCTCACATGAGCTTTCTGGCCTTTATCCTTACCACTGGCTTTCTTGGGACCCATGGTGAGATATATAATAACAAATTGTATAGACAAATCACCAAAAATCCAACAAAACACTGAAAATCCGCGAGAAGAATTGATGTGGGGGTAGTCACTGAGCGCGAGACAATAATAAACTGAGGGGCGGAGGGCCGACGATCACCGAACCACCACGCGCTAGGTCGGCTGTACGCGTATCAACAAACTCGCGTCCAAACTCGCCTCCCGAAGTAACCATCGCCTTCCGAGACAAATTTTTGGAGTAAATACACCTCGCCTTCCGAAAACCTCGCATACAGGGACAATCGCATTCCGAGGTACCACTGTACTTGCATAATATCATATATGTATATTTGTGTCCATAGAATTTTTCTTGTTTAAAAAAAGTATTGAAACTGCTTTGATGTGGCTGCTCTATACCCAGGTTCAAAAGTAACTTCCATAAACATTCCACAAAAGTAATGGAGTTGCAAGAGCATGAGTCGGCTCTGAAGTTGCTGTCAAAACTCCCAGAAAGAACAGACTACAGAAGCTTCCACCGCTGGCACCTGAGGTATCCATGAGCCGGGGCCATTTTTCAACCTGAATCAACAGGGAAGGCTGGGAAGCTGCATGAACAGAAACCAGACAACTTGGCCAAGCAACTGATGGTGCAGGGGGAGCAGAGGAGGCTGGCTTGCACAAAATGCACACAAATAAGGGAAAGCACTCAAAATCCTCCCCCACATAGAAAAACTCGGAATTTATAACTTGTATGCTAGTGGAAGTCAGGGATTTGAAGTGCCTGTAATACACAGTATAGGTATGCAATACCATGGCCTGCCATTCCACTACCGAAAAGGTCAAAATACTCAACAGGCAAAATAACTATGAGAAACCAAAAAGCAGCGTTAAATGTAATGAAACACCCCTTTCTGAGTGTTGGTGGTTTCTTGAAGTTATATTGCTGATACAGCTTCCCAATGCTTAGCCATATTAGTCATAGGAGTCCTATTGGCCTTCCAGAGACCAGAGCCAAAACCTGACCCCCTCTCAAAAAGGCAAAGAGAGTAGGGGACTGTTACAATAACCCTCATCAAGAAAGCACCCAGAAAGGAAATGAGAACAATGCAAAACTACAGTACTTGATTCAAGAAAACAAAGCACCTAATTAGCCAAAAGACACTGTAAAAAATTACTAGAAACAAAAATGTTCATACTAAACTGGGTCTGAAACAAATACCTTGGCACCTGCACCAAGCCACCAGTCATCAGCAAGGCTGGTGTCCCACACCCCATGTTCATTCAGTTGCTGATGGGCTTTAAAAAAGATGCATCTGGGAAAAGCACCATGGTGGTTCTGTGAAGCTAATAGAGAGGAATGAAAAAGGGTCTTACCAAGGAGGAGAGGTAGCAGCTACAGTGTTGAAGAAACACCAGGTGAGGAAACTTGGCCCAGGGCAACATAAGCCTGAATGGGACCAGGAACATTTATCAAATACCTAGCCACCAGCCTTATTAAATCTCCAAAACCACTAAACTCAAATATCAGCTTACGACACATTAGTGAAAATGGCGGCCTAAGCCATGTACATACAAATATTGTTGGCCCAAGGATAGACATCAGGCTGGCTAGCTTTAATGACTCTGCAGGTAACTTGGGACAAATGTGCTCCTGGAACAGGAAACTAAGGAAACTGGATCGAAAGACAGTGCACCCACCAAAGTAGAACAGGTGGTGTGCAAGAAGTAATGAACAGCCTATATCATACATGACAAATAATGCACACTAGGCCGGATAAATCGAGGAACAATTACCAATGTGACCCCCTCCAGACGCCAACAGTCTCATTCTTCACTAAACAGGGAGATAGCTACAGGCAAAGAAAATATCTACCAGGACCAAAAGAACAGAAACCATACCTTCTGAAGAGGGCATGAAGTTCCTCAACATAACTACTGGAGGTGGGAGCCAATAAAAACAAAGCCTTGAGACAAATATCCCAGACCAACGGGGGCATCTGTGAACTGAGGGGAAGAGAGAAACCCCAATACCTGATCTAGAGAACAAGAACAGTCATGGGGGCAGCATTAGTTGGCTGGGGGGTGAAAGAAAGCAAAAGACAGATTAAGAGACAGCACTGAGGAATTATTGATGCTGAACACCAATGAAAGCAGTTTCACCAAAGCTGTATGATAAGAGGCAAAAGTATTCGGCATGAGGTGCTGATCAATAAACAACCAGAACAAGAAGAAAAGAACCACTGGAGCAGACACAGAAGTAACTCGGTTAAAAGAGACAGAGATGAAAAGAAAAGCACCATGAAACTTCACACAGTTGACACAATGAAAGACACAGGTGGGAGACCAAATCAGCCACTTGCACTACATATAAATGGTGGTAAACCTGCATTAGACATTCCACATGTGTAGATAGGAAGAGAAGGTTGAACCAGCACAGTTCTTCACCAGACCAAGTTGCTGAAAGAACCAGAGCGTGGAGCTTTTAGCACAGGTTCTGATACTGGGCTTGAACTGGAAACTAGTGCTGACCAAAGGGCTAATAAGGATTACCTTGCCCAAGTACATCCATCTCCAACATGGACAGTACCCAGAGCATAAACTGAACTGGGGATTGAGGTAAATGAACAGTTACCAATGAGACCCCTCCAGGTGCCAACAGTCTCAATTTTCATTCTCCCTGTTAAGTGAAGAATGAGACTGTTGGCATCTGGAGGGGTCACATTTGTAATTATTCTTTTATATCAGATATAGAAAAAAATCCAAGTCACAGCTCGTGTCATCCTTTGCAGATGACACAAAAATCACCATGAAAATTACCTCTGCTGAAGACATTGTTAATATCTGCTTGTAGTTTTTCAAAGTTTTCGATTGGGCAGAAGAAAATAACATGATGTTTAACAGTGATAAAATTCCAGGTACTCAGGTAAGGCAAAACTGAGGATCTGAAGCATAATACAGGATACAAAACACAATCAAATCTGCCCATAGTAGGAAAACAGCATGTCAAGGATTTGGGAATAATGATGTCCGACGACCTAATGTTTAGGGATCATAACCAAGCAAATATTGCATCAGTCAGAAAAATGATAGGATGGATTACGAGAACCTTCAAATCCAGGGATCCCATCACAATGGTTGTACTTTTCAAATCACTTGTGCTGTCTCGTCTTGAGTACTGCTCGGTACTCACTTTCCCCTTCAGAGCAGGAGAGATTGTTGAAATAGAGAATACAGAGAACATATACGGCATGCATAGACTCGATAAATCACCTAAATTATTGGGATCGTTTCAAAGCTCTCCAAATGTACTCAGTAGAAAGGAGACCAGAGAGATACCAAATGATATACACATGGAAAATACTGGAGGGACCAGGTCCCAAATCTATACAGAAAAATAATAATGTACTGGAGTGAACGATATGGAAGAAAATGCAGAATAGAACCAGTGAAGAGCACAGGTGCCATGGGCACAATCAGAGAACGCTGTATAAACATCAGAGGTCTGCAGTTGTTCAACGTCCTCCCAGCAAATATAAGAAATATTGCCGGAATAACCGTGGACATCTTCAAGAGAAAACTAGATTTTTTCTAAAAAAAAAGTACCGGACCAACCGAGCTGTGGTGGGTATGTGGGCCTGCAGGCCGCTCCAAGCAACAGTCTGGTGGACCAAGCTCTCGCAAGTCAAGCCTGGCCTTGGGCTGGGCTTGGGGAGTAGAACAACTCCCAGAACCCCATCAAGCAGGCATCAATCAGGTAACTTTATTCTCAACTAGTCCAGCTGAATGGCATCTACTGCAAAAGCTTCATATTCAAGAAATGGTGCGACATAGAAGGGAAGCCACTGGTTCTAAGCCAAAAAGAACCTGAAAGTCCACCTTGGTGCTATTAAACATTATACAGAGCCAGTGGAAAGGTGCATCCTTGATGGTTCATGCCATGAAAATGGGACGAAACGAGAAAAGCCATTTGTAAGAAAGTTGGACACATAACTCCATACATGAGCAATTCGCAAAATTAAACCCTAAAGAAGCCAGAAGCAGAGTTACCCAAAAAGTCCAGCTCCAAAGATAAATCAAAACGACTCTTTGTGACTCAAAGATTGAACCACTGGAATCAATTTGAATGGAGCTAAATGATGAGGCTTGGAGGAAGACATATGTACTACAGGTCTTATCACACCACCGCAAACTCAAATACCATATTGTGCGCCAAATGGAGTGGGCCTGACCACTGACCTCGGTGGGAAAAAGTCTGGTGCGTGCTGGTCAAACCAACTTGTAGCAGAGGTGTCTGCAAACACGTCAATCAGTGAGGGAAGGTGGCACTATGAAACTGAAGTCCAAATATACCTGACAGTCCTAGTGATGGCAAGAAACAAAGAACCAGAGGAAACAGTACAATGCCGGAACCAAGCTGCCCAGGGGAAATATTATGTGGGCAAAGTTCAAGCTCCTGCACAAATGCTTGACCAACTGACGAGTCACCCAGAGGCAATCCAACACCAGACAACAAAGCAGCTGCAGGAGGCAGGAAAAGATATGCCGACCGAGAGACTCGGATGAAGCCCAAGCCAGGGAAGAACCAGATCCCTGGCTAGATGGCATCCAGTCCAACTTGGAGCTCAAGACAGCCAGTCATCGTAATAGGCCATATAACCTGAACCCCCAACTGAATTAGCCAGGTCACAGCTACCTGTGCTAACCTGGTAAAGATCTATGGAACCAGATTCAAGGGAAAAGGACAGAACCATGATGCCCCACTAAAAACCATAACCAATATCAGAACCTTGCATAAATAGTAATGGGCCAGTATACGTTTTGAGGTTTAGGGACATAATCAAGGAATTTGCCTATAAAACCAGCCAAACCTGAGGTAAAGTGATGATGCACAATGTTGAACAGGGAATGAAGCTTTGGTTTAGATTCTGGCCTATCTCAACGACTGCTTGATTTGGACTCCCAGTCGGTCTGCATGTTAGCTAGCCAAGGATCTGCTTCTTTCTTGGCTTGCCAGATTCAGGTTCCTAGTAAACCATTGGAAGTTCCAGTTAGTTTCATCCCAGATTCGAACCTGGTTGGGCCTTATTTAGGACTCTCGGGCGGCATTTCTTTCCCTGCCTTCTACATCTCTACTTTGCCTATCGAGGCATTGCTGTCTGGTGCTGGAGCGCCCCTGGGCAACTTATCGGTTGGTCAAGTGTTTGTGGGAACCTGAGCTTTGCTCTCATGCAAAAAGTGATGTGAAGAGAAAGTAAAGAATGATAACAGGAAACCTAGGGATTTTACTGGATAGAGGAGCCTGTGCTTCACTTAACAATATTTTATTGAGTATAATATTATGTCTGAACATTTTACAGCAAAGCTCCAACCTACCATCCAAAAATTTTGTAATGCTAATAACTCTTTCCAACAGATTAGACTACTTGTTAGATATATGTGGACGAGCTACAAAAGGAGTTCTTGTGGTTGGTGGAGGCCAGAGTGGACGAAGAGTAACTACTCTGCGCTACCTTCAAGGCCTAAACACATCAACAGTTGACACCACGATACTTCCCATCACCCCAGCTTCCACTGCACTATCTCTTAAGGTGTGGTTTATAAAGCCTTTTAGATGCCATGCAATAGATTGTCTAATATCAAGAAAAACAGATTTTGTTTTATTGTATGTATTAACTTAAAACTCATAACTAAATGTGACAAGAATCTGAAATAGAGTAGTGGCTATTCTGGCTGGTGTTGTGCCAGTCGCACAGCAATAAAAAAAAAAAAAAGTAAGACAAAGAAAATAAAACTGCTCGTGTCCTCTACACTGTGAGAGCTGATGGTGAAAACCAAAGAAAATAAAAAGAACTTTAAACATTTATCATAACATAAATTACTTTAATAACACAGAATAATAAGTAATAATTAATGAAAAACAAAATCCCCCTAAACACTTGGTTTTACACAAGATCAAAAAGAAATATAAATACGGTGAGTTATGTTAATCAAAAAAAGGGGTGCAAATGACTTTACACAAGAGCTGTATGTGTCTACTGTCTCCGGGAGGTGAGAGTAGATGTTACAGCTGAGAGTACGAAGTGTATTCTGATGACTGGACACCGGCAAGCTGTATATATATAATAAATAAATAAATAAATAAATGTTTATTCAGGTAAGGTACATACATACAAGAGATTTTACAAAAATTGATCGATTTATAGATAGAGCTAGTACATACAATGCCTAAAGCCACTATTACACAAAGCGTTTCGAGCAGAAATGCCCGAATATATATACATTCACCCATATATATATGTATATATATGGGTGAATGACATCAGAGATGGTGCGAATCTTGTAGGTAACCATCGGCCGGAAGTTAAACAAGCAGTTAGCGAGTGGCGTCTGGGCCCCCTGCCCAGACAGCAGGTGCCCAGGTGTCTCGGGTACTACAAGGTGGAGAGAAGAGGGGGTCTGTCTAGACACCCAATATGTTTGAGCACGTATTGTTGTTGTCGTCGTTGTTGATGCATGTAGATACATTGGTGAATAGGCGGTAGAGGGAACAGGCAGGATCTACTGCCTAAGCAGGAGATTACCGTAACAAATATTTAGATGTTGAAGCAATACTAAAAGTCAACTAATTCTAATCATGTGATATTATTCATCAACAGGCAATTGTAATTAGTCACTTAACAATGAGAGAGAGTGGGAAGTGGGGTGCTAAGAATGGTCGTAGACTGCTGGCATTTGTGGATGACCTGCATCTTGCTGCTCAAGATTCTTATCAAGCTCTGCCAGTTCATGAGGCAATCAGGGAAGCTATGCAGCAGAAGACTTGGTAAGATTTCTGGAATTGTAGCATGTCACAAGTTTGATGCACTCCAATTTCTGTTTCTGGGTAAAATCTAAAGAATTTCTCATAAATTTGCTTTATTTTAAATGTTGATAAAATAAAATAAAATAAAATAAAATGTTTATTTAGGTAAGGTACATACATACAATAAATTTTTACAAAGATTGGTTGACTTGTAGGTAGAGCTAGTACATACAATGCCTAAAGCCACTATTACGCAAAGCGTTTCGGGCATGATAAACTTAAATGACAAGCTTAATACTAATTGAGCATAATGAGTAGAATGAAAACAAGAAATGAAAACATAGATGAAAAAGCAGCACAAATACAATTATGTCGACAAACAGCGCTCTTTAAAAAAAAAAAAAAAAAAAAAAAAGTTAGGTTATGTTAGGTTATTGTTAGGTTATGCAGTTTTGATATGATCTGGCTTCTCCATTTCTGCTAGTTTGAGTTACTTCTGGATGTCATTAACTTATTGGAGTTAGCTTTGATACATGGGTTATGGTACCATGTTTCAGTATTGTATTGCTTATGGGAGATTTACAGTCAGAGAATGTTTTTTATTGCAATTACAATATATTTTTTATACTGTAGTAATATTTGCTCATTGCAGCTATGGACATATAATTTCTTAACCCTTAGACTGCAGTTAACATCAATTAAACTTTTTTTGGTGGTTTGCAGGATCAGACTATACCTTAATTTAAGCCTGTTGATACTGAACACTAAAATATCAAGAGAATTGAGCTCTGCTTATATCTGGTTAATATTACTTAATAGGAATAATTATGTATAGTCATAAATTAAAAAGATTTTAGCACCTGTGTTGTCAGTTTTTAAGAATGTAAGATGAAAGAAACATTAGTTGAACTCCACTTTTGTTATTTATCTTCATCTCTTCCTATTTATTTTGTATTTTTTGGGGAAGCCTCTTCTGTCTCTCTGAAGCTACTAGCTGTCTCTGATTGTACCATACAACTAGATGCCATCAGTTGCAGGTGCCTGAGCCAAGATTCCTCTTAGCCTACTGGGGACCAGAGCCAGAACCTGGCCTCCTCACAGAGGCTCAGAGAGCAGTGGCATTTATATATTAAGTTACTCATTTATGCCACCCACCAGAAGAGGCACCCAGAAAGTCAGTGAATCAAAACCACTGCTGGCTTCAGGTGAGACTACCTCCTTGAGAACCACCAAAAGAACTCCACCAAAAGAAGAAGTAAATAAATGATCGAATTTCATGAAACTAACACCAGCATGTTTATCTCATGACCTCCACATGTTTGGAGGGAGGCAGCCAGCGGTAAGCCAGCTATGCCACCGTCGGTTCTATTCTGATGGTAGTGTGTGTTGGGTCTCCTCTCTATTGCTCTGGCTTGGATGTTTTGTGTCCAGATAATTGGAGACATTTTGTCTTTGTGGCTGTTCTTGTACACTTAGGTGTAGCAGGAGCCAGGAGATAAGAGCATTTGGTGCTACATGAGCTCGGGGTTCTCATACCTATGTGCTCCTTAAGTGCTGCCCTTGTAGGCTATCTTCCCTGGAGTGTTCGGGAATCGCTCCCATAGAGGTCCTCCTCATTTGTAGTGGTCTTTGCCAAAGGTGAGTCATTTGTCTTTGATTTTCTGACTTTCCTTGGGTAGGGAGTGAATTTGGCTGGCAGGGCTTGCCGATGGTTCATGAGTTGCAATTATGGCGCACCAGAGTTGGTCTTCACAGCAGCATGTGCTTCCCTGTGCTGGCTTACTTTTATTCTCTAATACAATTATATACAGTATCCCAGTGCCTGGGTGTCCTGTTGGGTCATTTTCCTGTGTAGGCCCTGGAAATTTTCCCTGATCCCTCTCTTGCCTTGTGGGAGTTTGAGGGTTACATGCCACTCATGCCACATGGCAACATTCATTCATTCTGCCTCCATAATGCTGTCTGCTGGATTGGTGACCCTTTTGACTCTGAGACATGTGGGATTTGTTCCCATCATGTTGCTCTTCTTATTTCCACTCCAGATGAGGTTGGAGCTTTTCAGGCAGCAACCACTTTGTTTTAGGATTTCTGTGTTGCAGCAGTCTAGGTTATGTCCCCAGTTGGTGTTTAGGGTCATGGAATTGAAGGTGTTGGTTAACTTGACCTTGGCTCTGTCCACACCACTTCGGCCTTCCTCTTAGGCCGTGGTTCACCCTTCCTCTGATCCTTTCACCCTGCTTCCAACCCTGAAGCATCTGAGGGTTTTGAGGTTGGGGGAGGAATTTCCTCTGGATGAACTTGGTCAGCTCTGGTTGCCACTTAAACTCTGGTGTATCAGCTCTGGTGTATTAGTGCAAGAATGTAATGCTCAAACACCAATGTCATGTATTCTCACAAATCAACATACCTCTTGTATACAAATAAGTAAATAAATTAAAATATAAATGTTTTTCTTAAGACAGTTTTCCTGTTGACTCTGCCTGTGGCTGTCAGGTTGGGTAAGCTTCAGTCTAATCTGGAATTGGGAATTCTGTTCTTTTGGCCCTGGTGGGCAGTTTGTTTGCAGCTGGGCTTTAGTGGATATGTGGGCCTGTGGGTTGCTCCAAGCAACAACCTGATGGACTAAGCTCTCACAAGTCAAGCCTTGCCTTGGGCCAGGCTTGGAGAGTATCAAAACTCCCTGAACCCTTTCTATAAGCTCTTTCTATAAGAGAGAGTATAAGCTTCCTGGAGAAACCCAGTTTTGAATGTAATGAATACCAATTTCTGGAGGAACTGTGGTGGCTCCCTTCCGCCCTCACACCCTCTAGGTTTGCCAGTTTATCATGGATTTGTTCATCAGAACTGACATGGGAAGCCAGCTAGGAGCCAGGGCCAATCCATCTGGTGGTGGTAATTGGTATTAATGAGTTTCAAGCTCGTTTGAGTGAATCCCTTGTTGCGTGTTACTTGTTTAGGTAGTTATTTGGCGTTTTTTTGAGGCTTTATTCCCAGTGACCCCTTTAGTGGTCTGTAAAGCTGTTTTGACTTTCTGGAGTTGTTTTCTGGTGAGGTGGCAGATTGTCATCTTCTCTCTGCACCTTTATGATAGTGGGGAAAGGGGCAGATTCTGGCTCTGGTTCCTGGTAGGCCAAACTGAACTATCTGTAGCTGATGTGACTTTTTAGCATGAAGCAATCTTAAGAAGATAGCTCCAGTGAGTCTCTGGGGCTTCTCCAGAAATTAGCATTTCATTACATTCAGTGCTGGGTTTTCATTATTAATTTAAAGTAAATTAAATAATCTTGTAATAATATTACAGGATCAGCACAGAGAATACCACAAGGATGGTGTTAGAGGATATTACATGGATTGGTGGTATCTCCCTGGACAAAGGAGGCAAACCAGTGGATAGTGATGAGCCTGTGAGGACAGATTTGCTGGAGCCCAGGTGTTTAGCAGGCTTCATTGTGATAGCTGCTCACACTCTTTCTACAGAAACTATCAACCGAGTTTTCACCACTCAACTTAATGTATTTCTCAGGGTAGGTAACAAGTGTAGGTTTGTGGATATAAATTTCTCTTACAGTGGGTAGTATTCTTGGTCCACTCTCCTTTCTCATTTACATAAATGATCTTTCTTATGCCACTCAACACCTGAAATCAGTTCCATTTGATGATGACACAACTTTCATTTACTCTAATGCTAATCCAGTTGTTCCAAATGACACTGTGAATGCTGAACTAAAAAGTTTTCCAATGGCTGACTGCTAAAAAAAACTTACTCTTAACATTGATCAGACATTTTACATGTCAGTTCATTGTGTCGGGACAGGCAGCCAGTTTATACTTACGGTACACGTTAGGCCTATATCGAGGTCCTCTCCAAGGTCGAATTAAGGACCCTTCCCTGGATGCAATCCCACAATAGGCTGACTAACTCCTGAGTATCTACTCACGGCTAGGAAGTTAAGGGCATTAGGTGATAGTAAATACTCCCAACTACTACTGTCCATCCCATCCAACCACTTGGACTGGACGGTAGAGTGATGGTCTCACTTCATGCAGGTCGGCGTTCAGTCCCAGATCGTCCTAGTGGTTGGACGCCATTCCTTTCCCCTCCCGTTCCATCCCGAATCCTTATCCTGACCCCTTCCAAGTGCTATATAGTCATAATGGCTTGGTGCTTTCCCCTGATAGTTCTCTTCTGTCCATCCCAGTATTCAAGCCCGGGATTCTCGATTATAAGTCGAAAACGAATCCGACTGTAGTACCTGGATCCTAATATTGTTTAGTGACAAGTCCTTCAATCAGATTAACTCCCCCTGGGCGGCCCCACTAATAATAACCGACAACATTCCCTGAGACAAGAAAAAAATAAAAAATACTTTAAAAAATGTTAAAATGTGTTCTCTGATCATGGGGGAGAAAAAATTAATATTACATATCATTGATGTGAATGAGCCAGGAAATCTTGGATGTCATCAAACTTGTTCGCTCATGCAGTGTGCGTCCCTGTGTTGTCGCAAGTGGCATTCAATCAGCCAGGGTTGCCACAAATTTATTCTCGTGGCATTATTTACAATGACTTTGACATATATTATAAAAAAAAAAAATTCACTGATATTGTTCAACATACAGGTATTGTCACCTGATGTTATAAAAAATCTTGCATAAAATCCATACTCACCTTTTCATGTCACAATTATCCACACACAAATGTTTTATTTCACAGAAAATATATTATCTATTCTGATTTTTCATCAATGTATATATGCACTCACTCAACATGTACAGGTTTTTGCACCATTATTACAGAAACATGGTTTACGACCTGTTTCACCAAATATATATTGTAACTGTTCAGCATGATTCTGTCAACAACGTGAAAAAACATCATCTTGGTCCACTTCACTGTTTTAGGTACACACTCGACAGCGCCCACCATCATGTCACATTTATCAACTAAACGCATGTTAGTTATAGTCCATGACACAGTCTGGTTTATATATTTGTTCCTTGGTTACTTTGTTCACCTTGCCACTGTTCACCATTGTACCAGTGTGAATTTTCACATTTTTTTCTCGATTACGTCATTTTCTCCATGTAATATCATGCAGTGGCATGTGCCTGGGAGAGCAGCTAATGCTGCTAAGCTCCGCCTGGTAACACCACTGCCACTAGCCACAAGACTAGTGAAATTATCATCAGATTCTTCATCACTGAAGCCGGAAAGAGTCATCTTCCACATTGGTGGCCCAAAGCAACATCATGCTGCACATGCCCACATGAACTTCTCTGGTGATGGTGTGGAGTGAGGGCGAGGCAACAGTGGTGATGGTGTAGGCCTCACTCCTGGAGGCAAGCACAGTGTTGCTTTGACTGTCTGCATCACTCATTCTGTTACCTGGGGTATAATCTTTATCAATGTCAGTGTCATCAAAATCACTTTCCTCAGCTTCTGGAAATAATTAACTGTGAATTTCCGCATTAGTCAATGACTGGGTGGAGCAGTTTGCTGGTTGTGGTCAGAAGCCAGGTGGTGATGCACCCGTCATGGTGTCTTGATCGTAATTGAGGCCTTCCAACCATGGCGGCCTACACTGGATTTGTTTCCAAGATGGTGGCTGTTTACTATTACCCTTGGCAATCGTATGGGTACCCCCTTTAATATGTGGGACTTTTAAATCTTACACAGTACTTTAAAAAGTATATATTCAATACGCACTGTACATTGTCATACCAGAATTGCATATACTGTACAGTATACAATAATTGCCACCCAAAGAAATAACAATTTCCAAATAATGTGCAAATTAGAAGGTAATTTCCTTAAAGCTCACATTGACAACAAGCTGAACTTTAATTGCCATATACAAAATACAGTAAAAAAAAAAAAAACAGCGTTGAATGTAATGAAACGCCAATTTCTGGGTGAATCCTGCAGGTTTCCTGAAGCCGTTACACTGATTCAGTGCCATACTATTAGGTGCCATCAGTTGCAGAGTTCTTATTGGCATACTGGGGACCACATGCCAGAACCTGGGGCCCCCCTCAGGGAGCACAGGCATCAGTGGCAAATATGAACACCTTAAATTTAAAGATAAGCATGTCTCCCACCATCAGGGAAGGCATCCAGAAAGTCAGCGAATCAAAACAAACTACTGCATGGTTAAAACGAGACTGCAGCCTAAAAAATTGCCAAAAGAACTCCCACAACAAGGAAAAGAAACCAACAAAATTTCATGAAACTAGTGCAAGATGGTTTGCCCCCATCTCCCCCCCTCATTTTTAGGGAGGAGGGAGGTGGACAGGGTCAGCTGGCTCACCCCACCCTTAGTTCTTATAATGACGGAACTCATCGACTTCGCTCGTCCTTAAAAATGCATTACATTCAATGCTGGTTTTCTGAGGGGGAGTCTGTTGAGTATCGCTGAAGCTAACTGCCCACATAGAAGGACGAAAGGGCACTTACCAGGAAGGAGGCAGCACCACAGGTATCAATGCGAGGATGAGACAGTTGGGCCTGACACATGACCCAAGGCCACATAGGACCGCCGAGGACCTGGAACGTCGACCTGATGGATACTTGGCCATCAAAACCTGGTTTGACCACCAAAACCCCCGCACCCAAATGTCAGCCCAAGACATATTTGCAAATGCAGCCATCAGAGAAGCATACTTATGTACATCATAGGCATGAGGGGTAGACCCCAGGCTGGCTAGACTTGACAATGCAGGTGACCTGATAATTATTATCCCTGCAACAGGGAACCAGGGAAATCTAATCAACCAAGGGTTCCACCGTAACAGAATCAGTGGGACGAAGGTAGCAGAGTAAAGCTGTCACCGGACAAAGCTCATGATGGGCGCTCTGATAAGATAAGCCAACTCGTTCTCGGACCAAGTTTGAGAGCAAGAACTCTCTTGAGACAATTTGATATCCAGTGGTCAACCCCAAAGACACATTCATCAATTTTAACATTCTGTTCACTCAAAACCGAACTTTTCTCAAATATAAATTAATATTATTATATATTGTACATATTTAGGCACTGGTTAGGTTAGGTATTTAGGTTCTGTTAGCGATTATTTGTGTTTGTAATACATGGGTGAAGCATTTACGGAGTTGTAGTTCGAACAAGAGTCACCAGCGAAGTACTTGTTCCGGAAGTGTTTGGACATCATCAGTTGTGAGTTGTGTGTAAACCGTTTTTCATTCATGAACGGGATTTGGCAGGTACATGGAATGGCCTTTGGGTCTTTTGTTTGGAGAACGAGCTGCATGAGCACACTGGGATGAGAACCCTGAGCTCATGCAGCTCTAAGTACACTAAACTCCTGGCTCATGCACAGGAGTTTAGTGTACTTAATGTACTTTAGTGTTTAGTGTACTCGTGTAAAAAAACAGCTTCAAAGGCAAAACTCCACTTGAAAATGGGTGACTGGAGCCAGCTCGACTTGGCGACACGGGCCCGCATGAGAATAGAACTGATGGTGGGCAGGCCACCTGACCCACATCGTCTCCCTCTTTCCCCCAAAAGAGTAAGGAGGAGGGTCGAACTAGTATGTGCTAGTTTCAAAAAATTTTGGTGGTTTGTTTTCATTGTTTGGGAAGTTCGTTTGGCAATTATGTGGCTGTGGTCTTGGTTTTAACACTTTCTTTACCCAATGCCGCATATTCCGTCACAGAACCAAAATTCGAAGTGTACCTAATGATGCAAATGGCGTCGTTAATTTTAAATATTTGTAAAAATTCCATTTATTGTCTGAATTCTATGGGACTTGTTTTAAAATGAGCACCAACTTCTTCTCATTCTCTGTATATCCCATGTGGCATCCTGACTTGAAGTGAAAAAGCTGAAAAGAGAATAAACATTGAAGTGGTGAGCTCTTGGGCCATGCTCGTGCTACCTTGCATTGTGTGGCGGGTCTAAAGTATAGGAAAGTGAAACGTGTATGTGCACATATTTCTTTAGAGCATTCTGTTCTGAACAGTTTGATACCAAATTGAATGACATAGCACAAAAATTGAGGTTAGAAAGCTAAAAAGAGTGTAAACATTTGTGGGTGGTGGCGAGTTCATGTGCACCGCTGGGCTACCTTGAGGTGCGCAGCAGGTCGCCCGCCGGGACAACGAAAGTGTTAACCGTGTAGTGGTCTGTTTTGGTCTGACTATCTTTCTGGGTGCCTTCCTCATTGATGGCAATTATGAATAACTTTAAATGTAAAGTGTTCATAGGCTATCACTCTCAGCACCTCTCTGTGGGGACTAGGCTCTGGCTCGTGTTTCCCGGTAGGCCAATTGAACTCCGTGACTGATTACACCTGGTAGTATGGCACTGATCAGTGCATGATAGTTTCAGGAAGCCGACGGTGCTTCGCCCCACAAAGGATTATGATGACATTGAGATATGGAGACCAGATTCAGTCTGTTCAGATGTGACAGGAGATATAGGCTACAGGGTGGGATCAACCTGTACATGAGAGATGCAGTCATCTGCACAGAGCTTCTAAACACCACAAACTATATGGTGGATGTGCTGATAATTTTCAATTATCAGCACAAAATTTCAATGACAAAATTTAAATTTTCAATGTCACTGTTGTCTTTGAATATAAATCACCAGATTAAATCCTTGGCAGTTTAAAGAACACCTTATGAAATAAAACATTGCTTAGAAAACCTCACAAGACCTGCCCTGTACATCATCTTGCTTGGTGACGTCAACTTATGGCACCTAAAATTGAAAAATGTTGCAAGTACAGTTATGCCAGAGAGAATACCAAGAAGTTTAAGTGAATACTGTAGTCACACACAAATGGCCACTTGCAGATGTGTGATAGATTTACCTTAAACCAGCAAATAGCAGAACCAACTAGAAAAGAAAGCACTCCGGATTATATTTTTACAAGCAATGATGAACTGATTAGGGACATAATGATTACAAATGCATGTTACACTGATCAGACCCTAATTGCAGTTCAGACAAGCATGAGCAATAGACCTATGCACCCAGTCACAAATCCAAGAGAAGGAAAATTCAGCAAACTGTTTTTAAAATTTAATATTTCAGGGGGAGGGGTGCCCCGTTGGCTCCCCGGAGCTATCCTGGCTGATATGCTAATGTGAGACTTTGGCATCAGTCATGTGTTCTGTGGGCCTACCGGGCACCACGAGCCAGAAACTGGCTCTCTCACAGAGGCACGAGGAGCAATGACCTATTGAAACCCCCGTGTGGTTGGAAGCATTCTATGTCTGACATCAACCAGGTTAGGTACCCAAAAACGTAAGCATCCCAAAACAAACCCCGATTCTGCTGAAAATTGCTACATAAAGCCTAGCAAGTGGATAGATTTTCCCAAACAGAAACGAGCAAACGAGTATGACGTCACACGTTGCTGCTCCGCCGTCTGCGCAACTTCCCCCTCCCCGGAAGGTTAGGTTAGGTTCGGCGCGGGGTCTGGGGCTCCCCCTTTCTTCTCCCGTGGAGGGAGGAGCTGCGCAGACGGTGGCATGGCAACGTGTGATGTCATACTCGTTTGCTCGTTTCTGTTTGGGAAAATCTATCCACTTGTTTGGCTTTTTGTAACAATTTTCACCAGAATCGGTGTTTGTTTTGGGACGCTTACGTTTCTGGGTGCCTAACCCAGTCAATGGCAGGCATAGAATGCTTCCAACCACACCGGTTGTTGCTATTGGCCATTGCTTCTTGTGCCATTAGCATATGAGTCTGGATAGCTCCGGGGAGCCTCCGGGACTCGTCCAGAAAATGGCGTTTCATTATATTCAACGCTGGTTTTTTATTTTTGCACATAGGCAGAGATGCATGAATATCCACAGTGGGTGGATATTAATGGTTAAAATATTAAATATTTCAGTGAAGTGCTGAATATTGTGTAGGATAGGAGTTTGTTATTGTCCTAATTGCTAATGCATGCCGAGTAATTATGGGCTGAAGATAATTTTAGGTTATAGATCCCCAGGCACAGATGCCTTGGCTCTGGAATATTTAATGGTTCCAACCTATTCTCATAGGTATTATAATTTCTGGATAACTGGTTGTAATCTTTGCAAGTTTTTCTTCAAACATTTTAGTCTTTGTTGATGGATGGCTTGGATGAAACAATAATTTTTATTAGTTTTACCTGAATATATAAATCTGAAATTTTGTCACTAGTCTTATGCAGTATATGCATTATCAATACATAATAGTACCATTAATTCAATATGTATGGTTATCAAATGGCTGGTAAATAAACTGTAGCAGAATATTATGGAAGCTAAATGCCATCTGCTGTGCCTGTGCTGTGTAACATTAATTGGCTTGCAAGGCTCCCATTTTGTCTTGCCTGTAATGACAGGGTGCAAATAGCTTTGCCATTTTTTGTTTTCATATTATTTTGTTATTATTTATGACAATATTTTGTTGTCATATTATTACTCTGGTTTCTTGTTATTATATCTCTGGGAAAAATTCAGCCAGATTTACTGCCTAACCTTTCTTTACAGGCTGGAGGTTTTGTGCCAGACGTGTTTACTGTGGTGGCAGGCATTGTGTCTGGCACCCTTGATGTACTGCACCATGCACAAGTGTCATTGCCACCTTCTCCTACTAGGAGCCACTATGTATATAACTTATCTACTGCTGCACGTGTTATCCACTCTGTTAGCTTCCTAAGAAAAGAAGCCATGGAAACAAAGAGGCACTTTGTCAGGTACTAAAGTATCAAAGTTAGATCATACTGTGATGTAAATCAATTTGTTTAACCTCTGCATTGTGCACATGTTAAATGTGACACTCCTGTCGTGTGCACCAAAATATGTTAGTGGAAAAATGTTGTGTTTTGACATTGTTAATTAGCATTCATGAAGAACCAAAATCTAAATAAAAAGGCTCTACCTGTTGTGGTTTAGCTGTAGTGGCCCGGAGGAGTACTTTGGTAGAAATTTTTGGGTTGGCATTTTTTGGTACAAATAAAGTAAGGCACCGCACGGGAATAACTTTTGTCAATTTATTTTCATTGTTTCTCACTTTATTTAGTTTTATGGTGGGAGCTCCTTGTGGTTGCTGCCCCTTGAAACTGCTATCTTTGATATAGGTGCCATCAGTTGTCATCCACTTTTAAGTACTGTATCTCAGGGATAATACCAATATATAGGCTCCAGCTCCAAAAGATGTTTACGGCTTTTGATAATGTTTTCTGTGGGGAGCCACTACAGCTCCCTGGAACTATCGGCTAATATGCAATTCATTAGACCAGGGCATTAGTGATAGTTCAGCCTACCCGGTACCATGAGCCAGAACCAGGCCCCCCTCAGAGAGGCACAGGGAGCAATGGCCCCTGGAAAAAAAACCATGTGGTTGGGGGTTTTCCTTAGCTGCCATCAACCAGGGTTACGCACTCAGAAAGGTAGGCATAACAAAACAAATTCCACATGGTAAGGAGCGCCATGTTCTGGCTCGTGGTTTCCAGTAGGCTGAACTCCTATGACTAATGCCCTGGGGCCAGATTCACGAAGCAGTTACGCAAGTACTTAGGAATGTATACATCTTTCCTTAATCTCTGATGGCTTCGTATACATTTATTGAACAGTTTACAAGCATGAAAACTTTCCAATCAACTGTTGTTATTGTTATAAACAGCCTCCTAGTCCTTTGGAGCTCATTAACTGTTTAATAATTATAAACAAAGCCGCCAAAGATAGAGAAAAGATGTACACGTTCGTAAGTGCTTGCGCAACTGCTTCGTGAATCTGGCCCCTGGTCTAATGAAATGCATATTTGCCCGATAGCTTCAGGGAGCCTCCGGGGCTCACCCAGAAAATGACATTTCATTACATTCAACGCTGTTTTTTTTCTTTTATATATATATGAATATAGAATTCTAGGAGTCTGGTCCTGATACAGAGCGCATGGGCATGCTGTCTGTGGCTACTTCAGAGTTGAGTGGGGGTTAGAGTAACATCTAATATATGGTGAAATTTTTGCTGTTCCAATCATTGTGTAATAATTGTCTTTTTCTATTGAGCTGCCTCAATTCGTTATTGTTTTCTGGGGGAAGCCCCGTTGGCTCCTCGGAGCTATCCAGGCTGATATGCTAATATTAGACTTTGGCATCAGTCAGTGAGAATGGAGTTCTTTAGGCCTACCGGAGACCACGAACCAGAACCTGGCCCCCTCAGAGAGGCACGAAGAGCAATGGCCTATAAAAAAACAATGTGGTTGGAAGCGTTCTATCTGCCATCGACTGGGTCAGGCACCCAGAAAGGTAAGCATCCCAAAACAAACCCCTATTCTGGTCAAAAAATTGCTACTGAGAGCCGAACTAGTGGACAGAACTCCCCAAACAAAAAGGAGTTAACAAGCATGACGTCACCACATATTCGTGCTGCTGTCTGTGCAGCTCCCCCCTCACCGAGAGGGGGGGAGCTGCACAGACCCCTCACGCCGGCTACCCAAGACCCCAGTTCTGAGGCTGATGCGCTAGGCAGAGATCGTGTGCTCTAGCTCCGGTTTTAGTCTTCAGCTCTGTGCCCTTGTGGTGTGGTTGCTTTCTCATAGGGGTGCGCGAGCCAGGAGTCATTCTTCAGTACTCGGGCTGCATGCGCCTAGGGTTACCTTCCCTAGGTGCCCAGTAAGTACTGCCCTTGGGGCTTGGGGCCACCTTCCGCAAGATCCTTGGGTTCTGCATCTTTCTGGTCATTTGCTGCTCGGTTTTCGGCCGCCTTTTGTGTGCTGGGGTGTTCTGACTCCCTTGTCTGCCTTTGGATAAGAGGCAGTTTGCACTGGTAGGGGCGCAAGGTACTGCGCAGCTAGTTTTCACCTATCATGGCGGCTGGCTCTGTTCTGCCTGGGTATGTTGTCCTCTTGCTGGGTTTTATTTTTGTTCCTGCCTGGTGGGGGGGGGGGGGAAGGTGTGCCTTTGCTTGGTAGCCCCCTATCTATTTATTGTACACTTCTGTCCTGGTGGTAACCCAGGTAACCCAGGTTCCCGTGAGTGTACACATTCCGGGGGTTCAGTACTTAGAAGATTGTTGGTAGACTTGGGTGCAGGTTAGCAGTTCCCTTCCTGAGCTTCCTTGAGTGTTTGTTCCGTCACAGGACCCTGGGAATCCCTACAGGGACACATGGGTCTGATGGATGTGACCCCTGAGTTCCCTCTCGCTTTGTGTGAGTTTGTGGGTTGCTCTGTCCCCTTGTCTTAGGGTGACTCCGTGTTTTTGCCTCCTTCACGCTGCCTGCTGGGTCGGTGGCACCTTTGACCTGGAGTCCTGCGAGTTTTGTTGCTTGTTTGTGACTCAGTTACCCAGTCCAATGATGACTATGCGGGGTGCAGGTGGCTCAGGCATTGCACATTGGGTTCTGGTGGTTGCAACACACTAGGTTGTTTGCTCTCCAGAAGCCCCTACCTTGCCTCATTTTGGTTGTTGGGATCGGGCTTGGGGGTGTTGGTCACTACAGTTTTGTTTCCGTCCGTGCCCCCTTGTCTTTTCCATGTTGTGGTTCATTCTGGTCTTCCCCTTCCTCCCTGCATCCGGCTCCGAACTGTCTGTGGGTTTCAGGGTCGGGGCAAGGTTTCGATGGTCTTGAGACTCCTGGTGGTCTCATCGATTGCCCCGGAACTTCCAGGGTGGTGACGGAAGCATTCAAGCCTGTTCCTCCAGCCATGACAAATGAGTCTGCCAGTGGGTTCCTTTCCTTAGTGTTTTTCCGGCTGCCCCGGCTTTTTCTTGTGAGGCTGGGGCTTTGGAAGGACGGCTCGGCCCCGGGTCCTGCCGTGGATGTTCCTGGGGCTGGGTAGGAGCCGACTTGTGGGCCTTGGGCCCTGTTGGACCCCGCCGAGGTGTTTTTTCCCTCTGAGTGGGGCTTGCGGTTATGGGGAGTGGGGTTTTCCTTTCCCCCCTCTGTGTACGGGTTGGTTGGGCGTTGGCCCCTCCCTGGGTTTGGTTCCTTGTCCCTTCGGGTCCTTCAGTTCTATCCTGCCGGTAGGTACTCTTCTCCGTTTTCTCACCTTTCTTATCTGGGACATGTATTCTCCATCATGTCGATGTCCTGTTCTCGTATCGGGGTCCTGCATGATTATTGTTCTCGGATGCGACTGTGCCGATATGAGCCTTCGTGCTTTTGTTCTTGCTTCTGTAGGATCTCGAAGGTTCGGGACAGTCTTTGATACTTCCTATGTTACTGGAACGTCTGTCGTCTTCCAGTGACGCTTACCTCCAGTTCTTTATTGGACGTGTTGGTCCTCTTCCATGCATCTTCTTGGTTTTCAATACTATATCTCATTCTTTTGTAATTACATCTTCTCTCCGTGCGCAGTCTCGGCATTAATAATATTCATTACATATTCCTAGTTTGTGCCCTCCCTGCCGGGTAGGTTGTGCAGTTCGGATCTCGTGTATCCTGCGCAAGCACCGTGGGTGTTTTTGTTTATGGACGGTGTACGCAAGTGTTGGCGTTCTGCATCGTTCTTCTCTCGGGTGATTCGCCACTCTCGCTCATCTTATCTCTACAGTCAGAGCCCCATAGATACTGGGGGTGTTCTGGTTTAAATGTATGGGGAGGACACCTAGTTCTTTTCTCTGCATTCGGGTGTGTGGCGCTGCATCTGCCTCTACCCTACTCCTCTTCTCCTGCACATGCGACTCTGGCCATATTCCACTAGCGATGTTCCCAAAATATTACTCGGCTATGATGTGTTGTGACACGATAGTGCTTACACTCTACAGGTGAGCTTCTATGGTCTGGCGTCACTTTCGGCCAGGCGCTGGTTCGCGGTTTTTGAGTGAATGTTGGTGATTGGTTGTGGCATTTTGTTTGGCCCATTATGTGCTTCTTGCTTCCTCCTGTATCCTTTCTATGTCCGTCTGTATTGTTATTCATTACATTGTTATTCATTGGGGCACAGCCCTGTCTTTCAAGATCTTTCTTTTGTCTTTCAGTGCCTGGGCCTTTTCTTGCCTCATGACACTGATTCATTGCCCGTCGTGCAGTGCTTGGCTGAGCCCTTCCATATATATTGGATTCTCTATGTGTAGCATTTCCTATCTCTCTACTACTCGTTGTTGTGCCTATTCGTATGTGCTTCTTGGCTATGCTAATGTTCGTGCTAGGTTGAACTTTGTCCATGTTCAGTTCCCTGCTTTTGCACAGCCCGTGTGTTCAGTTATGGTCCTGCGTTCTTTCATCTTCTCCTTGAATGTCACTTCCAGCTTCTGGGTTGCCATGTATGCAGGTGGATGTACCTTACCTACCTTAGCATGACCTTGAGGTCATCATCGGTATAGCATCTCTGGTGTGAAAGGTTCTTGTTATCCAACCCGTCATTTTTCTTGCAGTTGTGAAGGCTACTTTATTGTGTTCTTTAAATGTAAGGCCTTCCGACATCAGTACGCCCAAATCCTTTACATTGCCTTTCCGTTCTGTTATGATTTGACTGAGTTTTGTACGTGGTTTCCATTTTTATATTTTCATTTTTTCCATAGCGCATGAGCTGGAACTTTTCTTCATTAAACACCATGCTATTTTCTGTAGCCCATAGAAAGACCTGATTTACATCTGATTGGAGGTTTGCCGTGTCCTCTATGTTGTCTACTCTCATAAAAATCCTAGTGTCATCTGCAAAGGATGATACAGTACTATAGGTTGTGTTTTTGTCTATGTTCGATATGAGGATGAGAAAAAGTACTGGAGCTAGCACAGTACCCTGGGGGA